GCTTTTTTCAAAGGGGGGGGTTAATGTTATCGATACCCCCATCTAACGTACGAGGGCTCCGAGGGTCTGCGGATGATGGTGACTTGCTCCAGCTCACACAGAAGAAGGGGGCAGCGAGGTTCCCATTTGTGGTCCCTGGGTCCCTCTGTTGTCTGGGTCCCATGCAAACTAACACCTCCCTCGCTGGGCCTTTGAGGGGGTTACCTTGGCAGCAGCCCGGGGATCCCTGCTGTGGAGTACAGTGGTGGGATGACACAGTATGAACATTCAAGTCCATTGGAAGAGATTCCCTCGATTGGGAAAACGCACCGCTAATTTAAGTAGACTGATGGGTCGTCTGTTTCACGTGTGACTCTAGTGCCGGTTTGACAGCTCTGCCCCACCCCCTCACCCTCCGTGGATCCACAGGACAGCCCGGTCTCCTGTCCACGCTCTGTTAATTGGGAAACGAACGCAGCACTTACAGTAACACGAGCCACACAGCAGTCACCCCACAAGATCCACCGCTGCCCAGCTGCTTGGCTCGCGCGCTGCTGCCTCCCTGCTCCCAAGTTAGGCCGGAGTTTATCCGGAGGGCGAGCTGTGTGGTAAGGAGCTTTGTCACCTCGTGGGTCTGTAAAACGCTGTTGCTGTGTGAAATGGCACAAGCCCTAAAATCCAGGCTGAGCCCTCTGCCAGGGCCCAGCCCCAACCTTGCACTTCCCTTCCTTATCGGGGAACTGGCAGCCTGTGCAAATGGAGCCAGCAGGGTTTGGTCCAGGAAAATCTGCCAAGTGGAAGGTTTGATCTGCCAAGCCTCCACAGAATCTCGTTCTCTGCGTTTGCAAAGGGGGAAGGGCCCTTCTACCCCAGGTGGCTGCCTGTCAGCGCTGTCTGACACACCCCTGGCTGCAGCTGCGCGTGGCTCCCAGTGACGAGGACCACAGCAGCAGGCCTTAGGGGCTAGCGACTGACTGAGAGCTGGCTGCACGGTGTTGCCTTTGGGGCTCTCTGCTAGCTGGGGAGCCCTGGCACTGGCTGAGGAAGGGACCAGTGGCTGCTTGAATGGCCCCAGCTGCTGCAGCGAAGGGATCTGACTTTAGTTGCAGAGTGGAAGAAAACAAATCTTTCCTGTAACTGCTTAATACGAATTGGCAGGCAGTGAGGGCTTATCAGCTAACTTCCTTCTCCCCGAGAGGGCAGGGTGGGTGTTAGCTGCTGCTAGGCTGGAATAATCTTTGCTGCCTTAAAAACCACAGGACTCCCATGGTTTTTCAAAGGTACAGCTGGGAGGTCGGCTTGCTACCCCTGGAGGTGGAATTCCTCCTTGCATCCCCAGGACTTTGCAAAGCGGGGAGCTGTCCTACCGTTCTACTCCACTGCTGTGGGCAGAGAGTTCAGTCTGCAGGGGGAATTCCGGGTGTAGGCCTTGTCTACGCGACCATCGACCTACAGTTACGCAGCTTGCGCGACACGAATAGCACGGGCGTCGGTCCGCTCCCCGTGGTACCTTCACCCCGGTAAGTCGGCAGCTGCCGCTCTCCTGTTGACGCCGCTTGGTCTCCTCGTTTTGGTGGCGTGCCGCAAAGCGCGGGGCAGTTGATTTATCGTGACCCTCGCTGGATCGATTGCTGCCCGTCGAGTCGATCCGGTGAAGACCTGCCCCTAGATCTCTTTGCTGAGGCTGCTAACTATTGTGCAGCTCATGAGCTTTGGTGATGGCAACACCTTGCTGCCGGGAATGAAACGGAAACTCCCCCCCCGCCCCCCAATTTATGTAGGACACGGAGCAGCCGCTGGAGATTGCTGTTAGCGTGGGTTAAAATCGAGCCGGCGACCTGGAAGTGAAATAATCTCGCTCTTCCCAGCCCCGTGAGCCAGCCACACGCTGTCTGCATGCCCGGTGCTCCAGCCCGGATTGCCTTGGGAGCCAGTGCTCGGTGGTCTGGAGCCTTCCGTGCCCGGCCGACTCCTGCATGCCAGGACCAAGCTGCAGCTTCGCCTCCAAACAGCTCTTGCCAGTTTCGAACCTTTTCGCCTCCCAGGCAGCGAGGTTTGAGCTTCGGCTGATGCTCTCGTCTGTAGGCTGAGGGGGGCTAATGAAATGCAGCAGCCGCTGCTCTGCAATGGGAGAAGGCCCAGGCCTCTTCTGGGGTTCCTGTGGGCCCCAGGAGAGCGGCCGTGGGGCTGGGCGGGAGCTCCTGCTCTGTGTGCGGAGTGGGAGCCGTTCTGTGTCCGCTGCTTCCCGCGGGGGTTCTCTCCCTTGGTTTCTCACATGCTTCCACGGACTCAGAGCTGCCTCTTTCTTGTTCTCAAGTCTCGCTCAAACAGGCTGGCTCTCGGAGGATATTCCAGTCAGGGGAAGGGAGGAGATGACAGAGCCCCCTTCTCTGTGTGGGACATCCAGCCGAGGCGGCCTCTCCGTCCCAAGATGGGACACGAGCTGTGCGGACTATCACACTGGTGTGCGACCGGTTCATTGTCTCCCCTCGGCGTGCGGGTGTACATCTGGGTTGGCACGCAGAGGAGAGGCGACTCCGCAAGAGCAAGTGTGCACGGGAAGCCAACTTTTTCAGCCGGCTCCCCGTGCCCACCGTCTCCTGTGGAGCCACCTGCCCCAGCCTTGCAGTGCTGCCTCTGTATCAGAGGCAGTGGGGCAAATGGGAGCTGGTGCTCTCCCCTTTCTGCCTCTGATAGAGGCAGCAGGGGCAGGAGGCATTTGTATGTAACCGTGAAGGTTAATTGAGGAGCCCAGGCCCATTGGTTGCCCATTTGAACGTCTACACTGGCAGAACCCTGCTCCAGAGACGTAGGCGCTTTGGGTCCTGTGATAAGCAGGCAGGTTGCTCAGCGTGGCCATCGCTGTGAAGTCTTGTGTAGAAATGTTCTTTTGTAACCGCTTACAGCGGCACTCGGGGAAATTGCTCCAGACATGTCTCTGCTTCCTGAGCCGGGGGGATGGGACCATTGTTTGCTGGGTGGTTGCAAAAGGCTCCCCCACCTGTACGCTGCCGTGCGCTCTGAGACACAGCACGGCGGGCAGTCGGTGTGGAGAGCTTGCAAGCTGAGCGCCTTAGGAGACCCGTGGGCTCAGCCCAGAGCAGCGTCCGTCCATCTTGGCCAAGTCCCGTTGGTGACTGACGAGCACGAACGGCCCGTGCTCAGCGGACGAGGCCAGCCATCACGCGCCGTAGGGCTTACGAGCTTTCCTGTAAAAAGGCTCGGTCAGCTGCTCTTCCAAGCCTCCTTCGCTGTCTCTTGTGACGCGCTCGCAGCGGCTGGCAAGCAGCACTTCCTTCCCGGCGGCTCCCCCTCCCGCTGGAGAAATGCTCGTTTGAATGTTGCCTGTTTCCGGTGCCGAGGAAGCTGCTCCTTTTTGTTCGCTTCTGTCCTTAAGCTAGCACCGCCGGGAAGTATCTTGGCAGTAATCCCAGCTCCTGCTGCCCCAGGCTCCCAACATGCGGGGGAGGTTAAAATCATTGTGAACAGGCCAGCCCCTCTCCCTGCTTTGTCAGGTATTAACCAGGGAAGATGCCATGGAGCAGGGCGAGGGCCATTCAGAGGGACGTGCTGGTTTCAAGCCCTTGGGGTGTTTCTTGGCCCGGGGATTTCAAACTTTTTTTTCTCATGACCCAGTTGAGGAAAATCTTTGAGGCCGCGACCCACCAGGATGTGACTGGAGTGCGCGCTCCAGGGTGGGGCTGCGGAGGGGAGATTTGAGGTCCAGAAGGGGGCTCTGGCTTTGGGGGTGTCAGGGCTGGGGCAGGAGGGGCTTCCCTAGAGCAGCTCCCGGTCAGCTGTGCGGTGGGGGGGCTAAGACAGCTTCCTGCCTCCCCTGGCACCGCAAACCATGCTGCCCCCAGAAGCACGTTCCCAGCCCATGGGAGTGCTCGGGGCAGGGGCAGTACACAGATCCCTGTGTGCTCTCTCCTCCCCTGCAGCCTCACCTAGGAGCCGGCCCTGCTGCCAGCTGCTTCTGGGGCGCAGCGTAGTCTGTGGTGCCAGGACAGGCAGAGAGCTGCCTTAACAGCCCTGTTGCACCGCTGACTGGCAGCCACGTGAGGTAAGCCCCTCCCGTCCCAGCCCTGACCCACCCCAAAGCTCTCACCCTCAGCCCCACCCCGGAGCCCAGCGCACAGTCAACCTGCGGAACTCCTCGCCAGAGGATGTTGTGAAGACTAGAACGTGAACAGGGTTCAAAAAAGAGCTAGATAGATTCATGGAGGTTAGGTCCAGCAATGGCTGCTAGCCAGGAGAGGTAGTGATGGTGTTCCTAGCCTCCGTGTGTCTGGAAATGGTTGACAGGGGAGGGATCATGTGATGGTTCCCTGCTCTGTTCTCTTCCTCTAGGGCACCAGGCATTGGCCACTATTGGCAGACAGGACGATGGGCTAGAACAGGGCTACTCGACACGCGGCCGTTGGCGGCCTGCGGTGCAGTTTGGGTTTACGCGGGGCTAAACACACGGCCCGTGGGTGGGAGCCAAAACAAAGAAGTCGTCAATATAACGGCCTGCTGTTGAGATGCGTTTGTCGTTAAATTCCTGGCCTGTCATTGCTCATTAACAGTGCTGTCACGTGGGTGGAAACGGGGGAAATGTCACATTTTATTAACATCAGCAGAACTGACTTCGGTGGGGCCTGCGTGTTGTGCAGTCTGGCCTTCATCTTTGTACTCGAGCCCATCAGAGTGAAAGACGCTATTTGCATACATTTGCATATAGATTTGCACATCTATGCAACCAACTTAAATTGTGGCCCTCGGCATGTGCTGTATCATTGTGGCCCCCCCGGGCTAGCTGGACCTTTGGTCTGACCCAGTAGGGCCGTTCTGATGTTCTTAGCACCCCCGTTGGTCACCTGGCCCCCCTGCAGCAACAAGCCCCAGGCCCTGCCGTTCCACACCCCAGGACCGGGTCGCGACACAGTACGAGGTAGTGCACGGAGTGTCTCTGTGAGTTGGGGGGGAGGGAGTAGAGTTCTCGCTGTCCTGTAAGTTTTTCTTTCTGTTCTTGGCTCCCTTTCCTGCTTGTTTTCAGGCCACAGTGTCAGCAGTGGCCCATGGTCCACGCCATCTCCAGGTGCAGCCCCATGGAAATCGCTGGTGCGTGCTGGGTCAGGTTGGCCTGTCCGGCAGGGAATAAACAGAAAGGAGCTGCATGGAGGTAGCGGCTTTCCCCCGACCGGGTGGAACAGACTCTGCGGCTTCTGCCCTGTCTCTGCGCCAGCCCTGCTCTGTTTCAGCACATCCAGTGCTCTTCCTGGCCAGTCTGCTGAATTCTGTATCGCCTGAGCCTCCCTTCTGGCTTCTCCTTAACAGCCCTGCATCTCCCCTCCAGCGCATGGCTGCCGCGTGGTTCCAGGGGCTCATTTCACACCTAGCTTCAGTTACCTGTTGGCGGTGGACCCCAGGGATGCCACTGCATGTTCTGTTCGGTTTACCTGCTGTGTATCGAATGTCTTCTCCTCCTCCCCCACCCCCAAAAAAGGTTATGCCAAAAGCCAGGAAATCGGGCAAATGGCTTTTAGACTGTACTGCCATCAGGGTACCAAGCAGAAGCCCTGTAGCCAAGTATGGGGCGTCTGCCTCCACTTGGGTTTCCCCACCTCATGTTGGTTTACTTGGATTTGGGGCAGATCCTGCAGGATTGTCCAGCCTGGTGCTAGGGATGCAAAGGGGCAGTTATCCAGTAAGCATTGCCTTGCCGGCAGGCTTACGGGGTAGCAGGTTAACCAGCACCCGGCCGGAGCACGTCCCCACCATGGCCTGGCATGGGCGGGGAGCTGCTCTGGGCCACTGTGTTGCGGGCGGGGGGGGCCCCAGCGGCCCCCACCTGTGGCGGGCCGGTTAAGTGGTTAAACATATTGTTTACCTGGTAAACATTTTAAACAGGATTTTCCCTCCCTACCTGCCCAATGGCCGTCATAGGTGGACTCTATGGGACGGCTTTCCAAGCCTGCCGTTGCTCCTCGTTGGCATTCGGGAAATGCCACAAGTCGCTCCTTCACCTCCCCTCCCCTCCCCCCTTATAAGAAGGGTTAGCTCTGCGAGAGCCCACCGCCAGGACTGAAGCTTGGTCTGCAGCCTTGGTGCAGGCCCTGCCGACACCAGGCATGCTGCTCTGACTCTCAGTTGCTGAGCCGATGGAGCTGCAGCAGGGCCGGGCTCCCTGCTCGGAGTCTCGCCGGAGCTGCTGGGGCACCGTGCGAATCTCTTCCCGTCTCTGCCTCACTCTTCCCAGCAGCGAGACGGGTTTAAAGCCCGATTCCCAGTGGCCGAGGTCCAGGGCTGAGGCAGCCGCCGATGAGAGCCTGGCCTCCGAGCGGTAGCACTGTTGTCTGGGGGGTGGCGAAGCAGGGAGTTGGCGCTGCTGTCTGGCTGCGTTTTTCCTAACGCTGTTCCTCCCCTCCTGGCAGACCTTTTGTCTGAATTGGCTCCGGGTTGAAGCCGACGGATAATGGAAACACTCCCCTGGCAATGTCTCTGGGGCGACTCCTCCGACGTGCCTCTTCGAAAGCCTCTGACCTCTTGACCCTAAACCCCGGCGGTGGCGGCGGTTCGTCCTCCAAGAACAATGTATGCGTCCACCCCGCTGAGGTGCCACCAGGTGTCGGGGAGCATCACCCAGGTGATGGGGTGCTGCACTCGCTGTTCGCTTTTCTGTCGGTCTCGGGGAGCGTCCGCATGTCCGTGCCTGCATGGGGTTGGTGTGCACCTCCGCAGTTCAAGGGTGTTGCCATGGGGCGTGGGATCTGAGAGCTTCCGTGGTCGGGAGGGACCGAGGAAAGTGCCATCACACCGCACTGATGGAACAGGCAGCCCCCGCAAAACCCCGATATCTGCTTCCTGCGCTAAAGTCAGTGTAGGGCTTCTCTTTAAGCCAAAAGCTGCTTTCTCCCCCTTCTTCCCTGCCAGGGGGACCCCGTGTATCCATGTGAATGAGCACCTGCTACTGGCTTCATATTGTAAAACTAGCCAATTAGCCCCTCATAAGATGGATTTTCAGGTCTCTCCTCCACGTTGGTCTTCTCTCCTGAGCCTCTGGTCTCTCGCTCCGTGTCTCTCTCTCTCGGACCGCGGAGCCCAAACGGCCCGGCTGAGCAGCGCAGAAGTCAGCCAAGTGCCACTGCGGGAGTCTCTCTCTTTCTCTTGTCCTCCCCCTCCTGTCTCTCACTCGGGGGACCGCGGAGCCCAAACGGCCCGGCTGAGCAGCGCAGAAGTCAGCCAAGTGCCACTGCGGGAGGCGAAGGACGCGATTCAGGCAACAGCGCCGCCCAGAGGGAACAGCCAGTATTTCGGCGTTACAGAGTCAGACATTGGGCTACTATATATAATAATTATTTTGCAAAGCATGGGTTTGCATTTGGCTTTTGTGTGTGCCTGGCTATTCTGGGCTGGCTTTCCAGGAATCTTTTTGACCTCTAGCTCTCCTAGGGCTGTTACTCGGGCATAACCAGTGTCGAGCTCCCATGTAGAATGGTCTGATTAAACAACAGTGCAAATTTGACATGAAAGTCTGTCGTTCAAAATTCTCTCTTGATTAGTTACATAACTCCTCCCATCAGGGGCCTGAGATGGGGGCATGTGACTACCCAGATTAGAAAGTATTCGGCTGGCAGATAAAATTCAGTGTTGATAAATGCAAAGTAATGCACTTTCAAAAACCTAATCCCAACTATACATATAAAATGATGGGTCTAAATTTTCTGTTACCACTCAAGAAATATCTTGGCCTCCTTGGGTATAATTCTCTGAAAACATCCACTCAATGAGCAGCGGCATCAAAAAAGCTAACACTGTTGGGAATCATTAAGAAAGGGCTAGATAAGACAGAAAATATCATATTCCTTCTCTATAAATCCCTGGAACACCTACATCTTGGTTACTGCAGAAGATGTCACCCCATCTCAAAAAAAGATATCTTGGCATTGGAAATAGTTCAGAAAAGGGCAACAAAACCAGAGGTTTGGAATGGCTTCCATATGAGGAGAGTTAACTGGGACTTGTCAGCTTGGAAAAGAGATGGCCAAGGGGGTTTATGATTGAGGCCCATAAATTTATGACTGGTGTGGGGAAAGTAAATAAGGAAGTGTTATTTACTCTTCTTATCACACATGCACTAGGGGTCACCCAATGAAATGAATAGGTAGCAGATTTAAAACAAACAGAAGGAAGTATTTCTTTACACAATGTACAGTCAACCTGTGGAACTCCTTGCCAGAGGATGTTGTGAAGACCAAGACTTGAACAGGGTTCAAAAAAGAACTGGGTAAATTCATGGAGGTTAGGTCCATCAATGGCTGTTAACCAGGCTGGAGATGGATGGTGGAGACAGGATGCTGAGCTAGATGGGCCTGTGATGTGACCCATTCTGGCTTTTCTAATGTTCTTATTCATAAACCATTTGCAAATAACGCATTTCAGGTGGAGAACTCTGCCCAGTGGCTGGATTGCTTTTGCCCAGCTGTATTGGTAGTGAAGAGGGAGGGGGATAAATATGGCTGCAAAATGTCCTGTGAATGCAGCTTAAGTCCTAACTGGTTGGCCGTGTGCTCTCTTGAAGGCTATATGTGCTTGTACATGGAGAAGGATGAGCTGCTTGGCACCACGCTGATCCTTGCCTGGGTGCCAAACTCACGCATTCAGAGGCAGGATGAAGAAGCGCTGCGCTACATCACCCCGGAGAGCTCCCCGGTCCGTAAAGCGCCCCGCAAGCGTGGCCGCCATGCCCCGGCGTTCAGCACCCTCCAGCAGGCCTCCCCAGCTGATCAGAAACGGGCCGTGATCCCGAGAGACGAGGAGATCCTGGCCGTGGCTCAGCTGGTCAGAGATGTGGCTCATCTCGGCTCCCCTCCTGGAGAAGGGGAGAAGCTGTCTCCGTGTTGCCTGGCAACTGACGGGACCCACGATGCCACGCAGCCTGCCCACAGTGACTCAGGAATCGTGTCGACAATCAGCTGGCAAGAGGAGCAGACCAAGTCGGAGGGGACGGAGGAAGGGCTGGACTGCAGGCCAGGCCAGGGGGAGGACGAGGGCTCCCTGGAGCTGTCTGCAGACGACGTGAGCAGGGACAGTACTTTTGACTCAGATTCTGACGCCTTCTCCTCCCCGTTCTGCCTCTCTCCCATCAGCGAAGCCCTGGGGGGAGGCAGCAGCTCTGTGTTCCTGGATAACGAAAGCAGGTGAGTTGGTCGCGTTTTTACAGCTTCCTGGTGGGAGGGGCGGAGGTGGAGGGAGGCTGAAGGCTTGAGGTGCTTAAAAGCCGCGCTGAGCTCGGTCTGACTGCTCTTGCTGTGGCTTGGCCGTAGTCCCCCTGCTCGAAGTTCCATTCCCTTCCTTTTAGGGTATAACCGGTGAGCCTCCCCTTTAGCGGGGGGGCTTATGGTTCAGGAGAGACTAGAGTCAGCTCTTCACCTGCCCTAGCAGGGGGCTGCTGCAGACCCCCGGGGCCCCCCACAGGCAGGCGCTGCTCTGCCCCTGTCCGTGTGGGCCTGGCTTCCCCACTGCAGTGTACAAGCTGGCTCCCTGGGAGTGGGTCAGGAGCGCGCTGGCTGCCGGCCCTGTCTCCAAGGGCCAAACAGTCGTGTAACCGCTCAGTTTCGATGCAGCTACACGGTTAATCGCTATCTAACATCCCTAGCGCAGAGCTCCGCTAAGCGTCAGACGCAGCGTGTGAAACCGGGTAACCGCTGGGATTTGTAGCCGTTCCACAGTGACACTTTAAAATTACTTTTTTTACATCCCTGCTTCCTTTGTATCCAACGTGGAAAGCCTTTGGGGACGGTCCCTGAGTTGGCCGGCCCCCCTTCCGCTCAGTGGAACCCGTCAGACTCTTCCTCCCTTCTGTGTCCACAAACGCATTCTGCAGCACTCCCCCCAGTCACCTGCAACGCGAACCCGGCCTGTCTGGCGCAGGCATCTCTCATGTGCGTCCCTATGGCATCCACGGCTCCTCAGCGGGGCCTGTGTAAGTGGTGTGGTTCACACCTGCTGTAGGCTGCATTTGGGCACGGGGTGGAGACCTAGGCAATGAATGAATGACTTGAATGCCCTTGCATCCTTGTTGTACGTTGCAGTAACACTGGACAGTATTTCACATCTGTCTGGCCTGTATTCCCTGCAGCTGCTCCCACCCTTCAGCATTGGTACAGCTGCGTGTGCGACAGTCCCTAGGCTAATTTAGGGATCCTCTTGCGATTTTGAAACTGCCCTGGAAACTGGGTTCAAGTCCTCCTTGGTGTCTCCATGCCCAGACTGTATGGAGACTTGTAGGCTGGACTGATTTTGCCACTTTATGGGCTGGTCTGAAACCAGGCCGGGTAAAGGGAGTGTCGAGTCAGTTGTAAGTCTAGCTGCCCTCCCAAAGCCTCGGTGCTCTGAGCAGTTCGCACGCGCTCTGCAGCTCTCCAAGGCTGTCTGGAGTGGAGCTGGGGGGTGGATCGACGGAATGTGATTCAATACAAGTTCCAGAATGGTGCAGCTGCCTGGCATGCCTGTGCTCCAGCCTGCCGACGAGAGCACCTTCGTGTGGCCACAGGGCTGTACTGCATGCAGGTCCGTGACCTGCCCAGAGCACATAGTGGGGTTCAGGTCACGGGGAAGCCGTGTTAGTTTGAAAACGTGTGCATCTGACCCTGGTATCCTACGCTCCTCGCTGCTTTTACCAGTCAGCCCCTTGTTGGGTTCCTTACGCGAGGTCTGATACTTGGGATTACAGTGAAGCTGTTAATAGGGAAGTGGTTTTCAAAATACGTTTAACGACACAGCACTGGGATTATTAAATATTGCCATTTTTAATCCCCTCCCTTCGCTCTCTGGTTACTCCATGTCCTTCGCTCAGCCTCAATAAGTGAAGCCAGCTAATCTATTGTTAGGAACTACCTGATAGAACATGAACATAACTCACACTAGCACAGGGAGGACACCAGTTTCTCTTTTAGAACGTGGTTTTCTGTCAGGATGACATCTGAATAAAGCCATGAGGAATTTGCATTTATTTCCAGTGCTTGGAGTCTCTTGGGGATGGCAGGTCTGCTCCTGGCGTTACGCAGAACTGTTGCAAAGACAGCTCATGTTGTAAGGTGGTCAATGCCAAATTTCCAGTTGAATTTGGCCCAAATTGTAGGCTGCTTTTAATGCAGCCTAAGTGCAACGACAGTGCATCCCTTATCACTTTTCAGCTTAGGTGGAAAGCTTTAAAAATAAAAAAGTTCTCCGATTGTATCTAACGTACATGCTCTTCAATGTTGCCTATAAGCTGTGCACTGCTTCAGCCACTGCGGGGAGATTCAAATGCTGCTGAGCTGATTAGCAGAACTCCCCCAGTTAGTTCCTTGGGATGGTGCACTTTTGTACACACCTCCATGTACAGAAAAAAAATATTCCACACATGGATGGGGAAAAAATCCACACACGGGTGGAAAAGATTAGAGGCAACCTTGCTCATCGCTATAGTGCGTATCTTCCACGAGTTATTGACTTAATCCCACAGATTGAAGAGTGATCCCCGTTTTACAGGTGGGGAACAGAGATACGCGATCCAATCAGGAACGGACCATGCTGAACCCAACTCGGAGCCCACATCTCAGAAACCCTGATCCAGAGCCTTACGCACAAGACCGTGTTTTCTAAACAGCGAGCCATTTGCTGTGGCTCTAGATCAGGGGTTCCCAACCTTTTTTGGTCCCTGTACACCCTTGGCTTTTAGTAAACCTTCCCGTACCCCCTATTCAATATGAAAGGAAATAAATTCTAGACTCTAGAATCCACAACTTTTTTCACTAACACGACTACTTTTGGAATATTTCAATTAGGATAATCTAGTTATTTACCAAATATTCCCCGTACCCTCTTGACAAGCTTCTTGTACCCCTTGGGGGGTACGTGTACCCCAGGTTGGGAACCCCTGATCTAGATCCTGCCAGTGAAATTGATGAGAGAGGGAACAGGAACAGTTGAACTTCTCCTCCCAACTGAAATTCAGAAAATTAAGCCAACGGTGATAAGTCAGACGTCTAAAAATGGGTTCAACATTAGTCATCTGAGGCAGAGTTAGTGATGACACCTCACCACGCTCATGGTCCATATTGATGGGGTTCACAGTCATAAGATTTTTAAAATAGTTGAAATAACGAAATTTACTGTTTCATTCTGACACTTCATGGTGTTGTAATCAGAGGGGTCCTGACCCAAAGAGGAGTTGTACACGTGGGGTGGTTTGCAAGATTATTGCGGGAGGGATGCGGGGGTTGCAGTACGGCTACACGTTGGATCTCTCTGGTCTGGCGCCCTCAGGACCTGACTGGTCCTGGATGAGGGATTTTGCCAGACCAGGGAGGGCACTTCTGGACCACTTGCCACCATCCCCCTCCCCCACCAGTCTTCCCAACTCCCTTCTCCCTACCCCTGCAAACCCAGTTGGGACACGCACAGAGCTTCTCGGATGGTGGGAAACTCGGCCACACCTATGATGAGTGGCCATCCAGCTAGCTCAAATTGTGCTGGACCATGGGTGTTGCCAGACCAGAGAAGTTCAACCTGTACTGCTATTTCTGTGCTGCTACTGGTGGTAGCGTTGCTTTCAGAGCTGGGCAACTGGAGGGTGGTGGCTTCTTCTGGCCTGGAGCCAG